GGAGCCACTACGGGCCACGAAGGGGCCTCGAAGGGCAGGCGCGACGCGCGCCTCGGGCAGGTAAGGAAAAAAAAGTTTAAATTTTAGTGGTGGGCCCAAGGATCGATATTGCTCTATACCATGTGAAGTATTAAACAGGAATGAAGAAAGGATGATTGCACTAGCAAGCAGTTGAGTACATATAGGAAACCCTAGATTGGGCTGTACTCACTATTGAGAACCCCACTGCAGGCTAGACAAATACAACATATTCTGACTTGGGGCTCTCGCTGGAGCAGTTTGAGGTGGTGCTGAGGCGGGTGGAGGGGCAGATGAAGACCCTGCCAGCCACGACACATGTGGCAGCGCAGCAGGGGCAGTACGTGGCGCGCTGCTTCAATCGCCTGCTGGACACGGGGTTGACGCCGGAGGGGCCGGCCAAGCAGCGAGGCGAGGGCAGACATCTCCTGCAGCCATTCCGGTGAGTGGAGAGGTGGAGTAGATGGTAAGTTGGGATGCTTTGGAGCTGGTTAGTATTATTGTTATTGCTATTATTATTACCATTATTCTTATTATTATTACGTTCGGTCTGTTAAGATTGTAAACTGAATTATTAGGTTCATTAGGGAACAAGAGAGCATACATAGGATGCAAGAGGAGCTTGGAAGGGAAGGGGGAAAGTTGGGAGGTTGGGTAGTCCCTATGGCAACTTGCAAGGAGGGGGCACCCAGCTTGCAACAAGGACCATGTGGGTTGCAAGGAGGGGGCACCCAACTGGTGGGTTTCAAAGGGGGGTACCCAACTTGCACTTGGGGGCTCCAACACTTGTGGGTTGGATTGGCACCCCAACTTGCATGTCTACACCCCAAAGTTGGGTGTAGGCCTACAAAGCAAGCTACACCCAAAGTTGGGTGTAGCCCCAACCCCTTTTATACTTAGCATGCCATACATACATTTCTAACAGAACCCCTTAGCATGCTAAGGCAAGAAGGGGACAACCCCTGAATCAAGGAGCGCCCGGGCGAGCAAGGCCAATGAGGCGGAGGAGAGCAGAGTGCGCAAGGCGAAGGAGGGCCTTGGTGAAGATGACGGCCAAGTTGGCCTCGGCAGCAATCTTGCGTACAGCAAGAAGGCCGCGCTGGACGAGCTCGCGGATGAAGAAATAGAGCAGTTCGATGTGCTTGGAGCGGGCGTGGTAGACAGGGTCCTGAGTGAGGTGGATGGTGCTGGCATTGTCACACCAGAGGGTGGGGCAGGGCTGAGGGGCACCAAGCTCAGCAAGAAGAAACCAGAGCCAGCAGGATTCCTGAGCGACCATGGTGCCAGCGTAGAGCTCGGCCTCACAGATGGAGAGGGAAACGGAAGAGGAGCGCGTGGAGCGCCAGGTGACAAGGCCGCTGCCGAGGGTGAAGCCGTAGCCCTAAGAGGAGCGGCGGTCCGGCTGCGTGTCGGCCCAGGAGGAGTTGCTGAAGCCCAAAAGCAGGGGAGGGGGGGGGGCACCAAGAGTGAGGGCGTGGTCCTTGGTGCCGCGAAGGTAGGGGAGGACCCTCTTAGCAACTTTCTAGTGCATCTCCGTGTGGCAACCAGTGCCAACAAAGCGAGCGAGCACGCTGATGGGGTAGGCGAGGTCGGGGCGGGTGCACATCATAGCGTACATCAGCGACCCAACGAGCTCAGCATAAGGGCGAGTGGAGGAGGAGGGAGAAGTGGGTGGGGCAAGTTGGTGGCCAAAAGGGAGGGGGGTGGCCATGGGACTGGCCTGCGCCATCTTGAACTTCTCCAAGACCTGGCCGATGTAATGGGACTGGGAGAGGGTGATGGTGCGAGCAGGACGGTCGCGAGTGATAGCCATGCCCAGGTAGTGTGTGAGGTCGCCATGGTCCTTGCACTTGAGGTGCTGCTGCAGCTGCTGCTTCATCTGCTCCATGTCAGCCTTGGAGTCAGCGAGCAGGATCATGTCATCCACATACACCAGAATGAAGAAGAGGCGAGGTGACGAGCGAAGGAAGAGACTAGCGTCAGAATGAGAGGAAGAGAAGCCGAGGGAACCCAGGGCGGTAGACAGCTTCGCGTGCCACTCCCTTGGCGCCTGCTTCAACCCGTAGACAGGTCGACGCAACTGCCACACAGTGTTCTCTGGAAAGGCGGCGTGGAACCCGGGGGGCACCGGAGGAAGATGCGCTCGTGCAGGTCCCCTTGCAGGAATGCGTTGGAGATGTCCATCGAGTAGATCTCCATGTCGTCGCGCGCACCAACGTCGAGGAGGGTGCGGAGGGTGGGCGGCTTGGCGGTGGAGCCGTAGGTGAACCAGTAATCCTCAACCCAAGTCTGGGTGAAACCCTTAGCGCAGTAGTGTGCCTTGTAGACCGGATCCTCGCCCGGCAGCTGCTTCACCCGAAAGACCCACTTGCCCTCGACAAGGTTGGCGTCGGCCAGGAGCGGGACATCAACGAAGGAGTCGTTGCGAATGAATGCCTCACACTCCAGGAAGATTGCCGCTATCCACTTGTCCGCATCAGGGTAGGTGATGGCCTCTTGAAAGGTGGAGGGAGTGAAGATGGTGGGGGTGGAGGTGACGCCAAGGACGGGAAGGCCAAGGAAGTCAAGGAAGATGGAGGCAAGGAAAGGAGTGTGGTGCCGAATGTTGAGGAACTCCTCATGGGAGTCCTCAAGGAGCTGAATGGAGGCAAGAGGAGGGGCTCCAATGAGTTTGTCCTAGGAGCGAGTGTGCATGCGAGGGAGGAGGAAAGGGGAGGAGCGGGAAGTTGCTCGGTGCTGCTGCCGCTGCCGCTGCTGCTGCTGCTGCTGCCGCTGCTGTTGCTGCTGCTGCCCCTGCTGCTGACCCGGCTGCTGCTGGTGCTGCTGCTGCTGCTGCTGCTTCTGCCCCTGCTGCCGACCCGGCTGCTGCTGCTGCCCCTGCTGCGGACCCGGCTGCTGCTGTTGCTGTCGCTGCTGCTGCTGCTGGCCCGGCCGCTTCAGAGAAGGGGGAGAGTGAGAGGAGGAGGGAGAGGGGGGAGGGGGCGCAGCTGAGTGGGCCGGAGAGGCGGGTGCGGCGGGGTCGTAGACGTCGGCAGAGGAGGATGAAGGGAGTGGAGCGGCAACAGGGGGGAGGAGAGGAGCGGGAGGGAGGAGAGGTGGGAGGACAGTGTCGGTCCAGGCGAGGAGGCGAGAGGGAGGAGGGAGAGGGTCAAGAGGAGGAGTGGAGTAGTAGGGAATGGACTCGTCGAAGACGGCGTCAATGCTGCGGACGAGGCGGTTGGTGGGAGGGTGGAGGAACAGGTAGCCGGGGGAGTCGCGATTTATCCCGAGGTAGACGCATTCCAAGGCACGAGGGGCGAGCTTACCAGCGGCGCGGGAGCGATCGGCTGGTGGGATAAGGACGAAGGACTTGCAACCCCAAACGCGAAGGCTGTCAGCGTCAGGCTTGGCCTTAGACCAGAGTTCTGTGGGGGAGGAAGAGGGATGCTGAGGGTGGGAGCGGAGATTGAGGAGGAGGGCGGCATGGAGGAGGGCATAGCTCCAAAGGGAAGGAGGGGTGGAGGCGTGAGCAATGAGGCAACGGGCAATTTTGGTGATTTAACAAATGCGACTCTCATCAATGCCATTTTGCTCAGGGGAGTGGGGGAGGGTGGAAGTTTGCTGAATGCCATGAGTTTTGCAGAAGGTGGCGAGGGTGTTGTTGATGAACTCACCCCCACCGTCAGAGTGAAGGCGGCCAATGGGGCGCTTGAAGTGAGTGCGACACTGCTCAGCCCAGTTGATGACCACAGCCGGCACCTGGTCTTTGGTGTGAAGGAAAAAGACAGTGGACTACCGACTGTGGTCGTCGACGAGGACGAGCATGTACCGATGCCCCTAACGGGAGCGGATGGGATAGGGACCCCAGAGATCCATGTGGACTAGGTCAATGGGAGCGGTAGCAAAGGTGGGATGGCTATGATGGGGAGACTGCTTGAGCTTGCCATGAATGCATGATGGGCATGGGGGAGCAGGGGAGGAGGGGAGGGGAGTTAAGGTGGGAGGGAGGCTGTGAAGAAGGTGAGAGGTGACAGTGGTGCGAAGTGCGGCGAAGTTGGGATGGCCGAGTCTGTGATGCAAAATGACTGCTGGGTGGGAGAGGGCAGTAGAGGAGGAGGGGGATGGGGTGGGAGACGAGGTGGGGAGGAAGGAGGTGGGGGGTGAAGTAGGGGAGGAGGATACCTGAGGGGGAGGGAGAGGGGGAGGAGGACCGGTGGAAGTACCAGCACGAGTGGTAACATGACAGAAAGAGGGACGGGGTGTGCGGAGCGTGGAAAGGCGAGTGCGAGGGCAAAAGGGAATGCGCAGAAGGAAGCGACCAAAGGCTGTGTGGTAGAGATCACAGTAAGTAGCAAAACCAGGGTAAATGGCGGTAATACCGATACCTTGGAGCTCTCGGTGAGAGAGGAGGTTGTTGCGAAGGGTAGGGATGTGGAGACCTGTGACCCTACCGGAGGGGAAAGCGGTGCAAGGGAGGGTGGAGAGGTGAGTGCATGGGATGGAGAAGCTGGAGTCAGCACCATGAACCTGGGTGGGAAGTGGAAGGAGGGTGAGGGTGCCAGCGTCTTTAAGTGCAGTTTCTGTGGCCCCACTGGCAAGGACAAAGTCCAAGGTGGGGGAGGAAGGAGGGGGAGGTGACACTGGGTACTGGAAAGACGTCTCATTGATAGGAGAGGGATACATGGAAGCGACGGATGGTGCAACAGCAACATGACCAAGGACACTGCCCTGAGAGTCAGGGACACTGGGGGGGGCAGAGGGGATGGAACCCCAGGGGGGGGAGCAAGGGAGGCATGAGCGGCCATGGCCGCTGTGCCGAAGGTCATCGGCTGCTGCTGTTACTGCGGCTGAAGGTACTGCGGCGGCTGCTGCTGCTGGAAGAACTGCTGCTGCCACTGCAGCTGAAGGTACTGTGGCGGCTGCTGCTGCTGGAAGAACTGCTGCTGCGGTGGCTGCTACGGCTGGAGAAACTGCGGCTGCTGCTGCTGCGGGAAGTACTGCTGCTACTGCTGCTGGTGCTGCTGAAACTGCTGCAGCTGGGAAGGGGGGGAGGGGGTGAGTAGGCGGAGGTGAGCGGGGAGGAAGGAGGGGAGGGTCTGAATGTCCACGAAGGAGGGGCGAGGGGTAACATTTTTCCAGCGAGGAGGGGTACCAGTGTTGCCGCGGTCAAACCAAGTGTGATCAAGTGCCTTGAAACATGTGGCAGGGGGGTGGTTGGTCTGACCACACGGCGTGCCGGCGTGGGGACCATGACGGCGAACGTACGTGCAGGGGGGGAGAGTCCCAGGGCGACCACCACGGCTCACAGCTCCACCGGCACCAGAGGAACCTCCAAGAGTGGTACCACCAGGACCACCACCACCACCACCACCACCACCACCACCACCACCACCACCACCACCACCACCACCACCACCACCACCACCACCACCACCACCACCACCACCACCACCACCACCACCACCACCACCACCGCGGCCACCACGGCCACCACCGCCACCACCCCGACCACCACCACCACCTCCGCCCCCTCCACGACCCCCTCCGCCGCCGTTGCGACCACCCTGGTTGCACGGCTGCATGGCATTGAGGGAGGTGGATGAGGGATGAGTGGTGGTGAGGTTGACAATGGGGGTGCGGAGCTTGACCTCCGTGTCAATGATCCACTGAGTCACCTCGGTGAGGCCAGCCAAGGGGTTTGCCCTGGTGAAGGCGTGCAGGCGGGACTCGTAGTCCGGCGTGAGGTTGAAGAGCAGACGATGAATCTGCAGGGGCTCAGAAAGGGCAGCCTGGCGAGTGGCAAGGCGATCGGCTACCTCCTGCATGTGCCCCACACAGTCGACTGCGCCGTCGCAGGTGGCGAGGGTAATGGAGAAGTACTCCTGGAAGGGAACGGCGACATAGCTGATGTTGCGGCGCTCGAACATAGACCGGAGCTCGGTCCAAATCAGGTAAGCTTGCATCTCACGAGCTTGGAAGCGGCGCATGAGGGCGTCGGGGAGCGCACCGAGGAGGATGGTGCAGGCGCGGTTGTCGGCAGCGGCCCAGGCGATGCTGTTGGGGATGTAAGTCGCCATGGAGGTGTTGTACTCCGCAATCAGCTCTAGGCGGGTGGTACGCTCCGATGATGCAAATTCGTGGTTGAGCACAGCAACGTCATGGTCGGCTTTGCGGTTCACGGCGGTTGTGGAGGAAGGTGGCGTCCGCAGCAGCCTGAAGCTCGGGGGTAGTGGCCACATCCAGGGTAGGCTCAGGAGGAGGGGGGCCAAGAAGGGGAGGGAGAGGAGGAGGTTTGCCAGGGTGATTGGGTGCGGTCGGCTGGAGAGCCTGCGGACAGCGAGGAGAACGCCAAGGACGCAGTAGGGTCTGACGAAGGCGTCCTGAAGAACGCGGCGAATGCTGCCGACAAATGAGTGCCAGTTTATGGCGGAGCGATCTGCAGCAAGCTTCAGCTTGTCGACCGAGGAGGCGTCGATGGGAGGGGGGAGAGGAGCAGGAGGGGTGGTAGCCATGATGGGCGGCGGCGGGTGGATCTGTGGCGGCCAAGGAGGAGACGACGGCGGGTGGACCCGCGGCGGTCAAGGGGGAGGCGACGGCAGGTGGACCCGCGGCAGCCAGGGGGAGGATGGCCGGGGGGGGGGGGCGCTGCTGCTGGAGCTGGTGCACTACGCTGGCTGCTGCTGCTGCTGGACCCCTCCGGCTGTTGCTGCTGCTGCCGCTGCCGCCGCTGCTGCCGCTGCTGCTGCTGCTGTCGAGGAGAGGGGAGAGGGAGAGGAGGAGGGAGAGGGGGGGGGGAAGGGAGGATGCAGTCACGGGTGCGGCTGCCGCTGCTGCCGTTGCTACCAGCGAGAGGGGAGAGGGAGAGGAGGAGGGAGAGGGGGGGGGGGGGAGAAGGGAGGATGCAGTCATGGGTGCCGATGCTGCTGCTACCGTTGCTGCCGAGGAGAGGGGAGAGGGAGAGGAGGAGGGAGAGGGGGAGGGGGAAGGGTGTAGTTGCGATGGCGGGATGCGCAGGCTGCGATGCGCAGTCGCGACGGCGGGAATTGGAGGCGGCGACGGTGCAGTCGCGGCGGCGGAAATCGCGGGCGACGGCGGTGCAGTCACGGCGGCGGAAATTGCGGGCGACGGCGGTGCAGTCGCGGCGGCGGGACGTACAGGCGACGACGGGGCAGTCGCGGCGGTTGGATGTGCAGGCGGCGATGTGCTGTCGCGGCGGCGGGTACCACAGGCGGCGACGACGTAGTCGCGGCGGTGGGATGTGCAGGCGGTGACGTGAAGTCGTGGCGACGGGATGGGCAGGCGACGACGCGCAACCGCGGCGGCTGGTACAGGAGGCGGCGACGACGTGGTCGCGGCGGCGGGACGGGCAGGCGGCGACGAGAAGGTCACGGCGGTGGAAGGGCCAGGCGGCAACAGCATGGTCGCGGCGGCTGGAAGGGCAGGCGGCGACGAAAAGGTCGCGGCGGCTGGGAGGGCAGGCGGCGACGGAAAGGTCGCGGCGGCTGAAATCCGTGGGCGGAGAGGCACGGGCGGCGAAATCCGCAGGACGCGGCGGCGAAATCCATGGCGGAATCGCGGAGGTGGAAGTTGCGGAGGGAGGGGGAGGAAGGGGGGGGGGGGGGGGGGGGGCACGGCGGAAAGGCACAGGCGGCGGCGAGGAGACCGCGATGGGAAAGCGGCGAGGAGGCCGCGGCGGGAAAGCGCCGAGATGGGGAAGGGGGGAGGAGGATGACGGCGACGGAAAGGTCGCGGCGTGAGGGAAGCGGATGGTGGGCACTTGGAAAAAAAAACTGGAGGGGAGTTAAGGCCTTAGAAAAAATTAGCTCTATACCATGTTAAGATTGTAAACTGAATGATTAGGTTCATTAGGGAACACGAGAGCATACATAGGATGCAAGAGGAGCTTGGAAGGGAAGAGGGAAAGTTGGGTGGTTGGGTAGTCCCTATGGCAACTTGCAAGGAGGGGGCACCCAACTTGCAACAAGGACCATGTGGGTTGCAAGGAGGGGGCACCCAACTTGCAACAAGGACCATGTGGGTTGCAAGGAGGGGGCACCCAACTTGCAACAAGGACCATGTGGGTTGCAAGGAGGGGGCACCCAACTTGTGGGTTGCAAAGGGAGGTACCCAACTTGCACTTGGGGGCTCCAACACTTGTGGGTTGGACTGGCACCCCAACTTGCAAGTCTACACCCCAAAGTTGGGTGTAGGCCTACAAAGCTAGCTACACCCAAAGTTGGGTGTAGCCCCAACCCCTTTTATACTTAGCATGATATACATACATTTCTAACACGGTCTTCCAAGCTATAATACTTTGAACTCAAGCTGATAGTTGGGCCACGGCTTTAAAGCCCCTCCCCTCCCCTCCCCTCCCCTCCCCTCCCCTCCCCTCCCCTCCTCCCTCATCCCCTCCATCCTTCACATAACTCCTCCTCTGCCTTCGCCCCAGATGTTGCACGTCCCACCTGGGCGGGTTACGCTAACGTTTCTTAGCGTACGTTTATGCTCTTCAGGAATGTGTTTACTTGGAACGGGAAGCGGGAGGGAGGGAGTGGCGACACAGGTACTTGGAATGAGTCGACTCAAAAGCCATTTGCTTCTCACCCAACCCCACTCCTCCAAACTCACACCACACAACCCGCTATGTGCATTTGAGGCAGTTCGCCCTTCTAGGGTCGGAGACCACTGCCTACATACCCCAACTGCTCTATTTGTGCCAATTGCTTGTGACCCTGCCCGCGACATGTAACCAGCTATGTGCATTTGGGGCAGTTCGACCCCCTGGGGTCAGAGACCTCCATCCCCCCCCCCCCCCCCCCCCCCCCCCCCCCCCCCCTCTCTCCATGCATGCATCCAGCTATGTCCATTTTGGGCAGTTCGCCCCTCTGGGGTCGGAGACCACAGCAGCAGAGCTGCCTGGCGACTAGGTCAGCATTGGCAGGTCCACACATTGGCTCTGGTACTCCGTGTACGCCAGGTGGGTGTGTTGTGCAATGTGGGTGCATGCACTCGACTGTGTCAGCATTGGTCGGTCCACACAGTGGCTCTGGTACTCCGTGTATGCCAGGTGGGTGCGATGATGAAGGCCTTTGGTGGCTCTGGTACTCTGTCTACGCCAGGTGGGTAAGCTGATGATTACGGCTTTTCCTCGCTCTGGCACTCGGTGTACGCCATGTCAAATATTATATAGCTTACTTTGTGTAGGCCATAGTGGGGTAGCCCATAAGGGGTACAACCCAATTAGGGTTAGTACTTGTACCCAACTTTTGTTCAATGCATTCATCCTCGTTCGTTAATTTGACATGGTTTCAGAGCAGGTCCTTCGCTAGGACCGAATACTTTTTCAGGGCCCACCACAGAGCTGCCCCTCTAGCGGCCCGCCCGCTGCCACTAGGCCCTCTAGCCGCCCTTGCGGCCCGCTCGCCGCCCGTGCGGCCCGCTCGCCCCTTGCTCGCGGCCCGCAAGCCGCCCCTGCAGCACTCTTGCCGCCAGCTTGTGGCCCGCTACGCCGCCCCTGCCGCCCGCTCGCCGCTTGCTCACGGCCCGCTCGCCGCCCCTGCCGCCCGCTCACCGCTTGCCTGCGGCCCGCTCGGCGCCCCTGCAGCCCGCTTGCTGCCTCCCTGCGGCCCGCTTGCCGCCCTTGCAGCTTGCTCACCGCCCGCTTGCGGCCCGCTCGCCGCCCCTGCTGCCCACCCGCCGCCCGCTTACGGCCTGCTCGCAGCCCCTGCAGCCCACTCCCAGCCCTCTTGCGGCCCGCGCGCCGCCCCTTGCAGCCCGCTCGCCGCCTCTTGCAGCCTGCGCGCCACCCCTTGCAGCCTGCTCGCCACCCCTTGCTGCCCACTCTCCGCCCCTTGCAGCCTGCGCACCGCCCTCTGGCAGCCCGCTCGCTGCCCCTTTGCATGCCCGCCCTCCAGCTGGCCACCCTAGCCGTGCGCCTCCCTTCCCTGCCTGCGTGCTACTCTGCGGGTAGCGCGCCACCCTGCTTTGCCCGCTATGGCTTCTCTCCGTGTCCTCACATTCGATCATGAGGGCCGTCCGATCCAGTTCGACAAGTGGCTCGATAACTTACAGCTATACCTACTGAGCGACTTCAGAGACAGCGTTTCGTTGTTTGACCACACGTCTGGAGCCTCTCTCGCCCCTCCCACAACAGCTGACAGTGCGACTCGCTCACAGTGGCTTACCCGTGACGCTGCTACTCGCTTAGCCATTCCCAACCACCTGCCATTAGCCGAATGCGCTCACTTCGGACAGCACAAGACTGCTAAAGCACTGTACGACACTGTAGTCACCCGTTACTCCTCCCCTGCCACTTCTGCTCTAGGCCGTCTTATACTGCCCTACCTGTTTCCCGAGCTTTCTGCCTTTGCCACAGTAGAGGACCTCGTTACCCACCTTCGCACTAGCGACACTCGCTACCGTGCTGCCCCCCCCCCCCTCCCCGATGTACATCACTTTCTACTTCATAGTCACCCGCCTCCTTGACTCTCTTCGCGCAGTCAGGGACCACTTTCTCGCACTTGACCCCACTGACCTCACTGTTGACCTACTCGAGCAGCATCTCCTTGCAGCTGAGACTAGTGTAGTTGCTGTAGGTGCCGCTCGTGGCACTCCTCGCACGCCCTTCTTTGAGGGGTATTTCCCCTCCCCCCTTGCCCCCTCCTACGCCTCTGCTGCTGCTGTTGACGTCCTTGGTGCTGAGGATGTCAGGGCTGCTTCTGCTAGTCGGAAGCGCCGTAGCAGCAAGGGCAAGGGTGGCAGGAGTAGTGGAGGTGGCAGCGGGGGTGGTAGTGGGGGCGGCAGTGGAGGTGGTGGAGGTAGTGGAGGTGGTGGCAGGGGTGGGAGTGGTGGCGGGAGTGGGGGCTTTGGTGGCGGCGGTGGTGGCAGCGGTGGGAGTGGCGGTAGTGGCGCTAGTGGGAGTGGTGGCAGTCAGGGTGGAGCTGTTCAGAGGGGACGTTCTGGCCGTGGCCAGCGGCAGCAGCAGCAGCGTTGGTGCGCGACCCCTTCGCCCCAGCAGCTTCGTGAGTGGTATTCTCAGCGTGGGGCATCTGGGGGTAGTATTAGTTGCCCGTATGTCATTCGCACAGGTGACCGGGCTGGTAAGACATGTGGGAAGCCTCACACTCAGCACCGCTGCTTCTTCCGCCTAGACGACGCTTGGCGCGCAGAGTTTGGTAACGAGGCCGAGTGCCCCCGCTGGGCAGAGCTGCTTAGGTCTGGAGTTGCTATCTTTGATCTTAACTATGATGCTATCCTTGCTTCTATGTATGCCTTGTCTGTTAGTGCTGAGGGTGAATGTTACTTGTGTGTGCCGCCTGACCCAAGTATAGAGGCTGCTGCTCTAGGTGCTAGTGAGTCTTCTCTCCCTTGTACTGCGCCTGCTGAGGCCTTGCACACCTTTACGCTTGTCTCAGGTGCTTCCCGCTGTTTCTTTCGCGACAGCACCACCCTCACTCCTCTCTCTGCACTTGTACCGGTCAGACAAGCTGACCCCTTAATGGGCCCAGTTCTTGCCTGTTCCTCCACTGTTCTCCCGTGTCCGGCGGTTCCATCTGGCTTGCTGTCAGGTCTTCACCTCCCCTCGTTCTCTCCAAACATGGTGAGTACCGCTGCCCTCCAGGATGCGATGGTCACTACCACCACTCCTTGGGGTCAGCGTGTGTCGATCTGCTCGTGTACATGGACGGGCCGTCACCTGGCCACGTTCACCCGTCGGCCTGGGTCGAGTCTGTACACAGGGACTACTTAGCCTCCTCAGGTAGATGCTTCTGCCCAGGTGTCCGCGACAGGTCCGGTAGCACCCCCTTGCTCGTGTCGCCTCCTGTTGCACCAGACTCTCCTATGGCACCACCGCCTTGGTCACCCCTCCCTGCCACGCCTTCGTGGCATGCACTCCCGCCTCCTTGTTTCTGGTCTTCCCCGGTCTCTGCCTCCCCTCCCGCCCTCGCCTGCCCCGCCCTGCCTTCCTTGCGTCGAGGGGCGGCAGCGTGCCGCTCCTCACTCCTCCTCGTTTCCCCCGACGACTGCTCCCCTGCAGACTCTTCACATGGACGTGTGGGACCGTGAGCGCTACTTCCTGCAGGTTGTTGAGGATTACACGCGTTACACCACGGTCTTCCCCTTGCGCAGCAAGGGTGAGGTCCCTGATGTCTTGATCCCTTGGATCCGCGCAGTCCGTCTCTAGCTCTGCGAGCGGTTCTGCCAGGACCTTCCTGTACTCTGACAGAGGTGGTGAATTTTGCTCCGACCTCTTGCGGGACTTTTGTCGTGGAGAGGGCATCCTCTAGTCGTTCAGGCTTCCGGCCTCCCCACAGCAAAATGGGATTGCTGAGCGCCGCATTGGTCTAGTCATGGAGGTGGCTCGTACCTCCATTATCCATGCGGCTGCTCCCCATTTTCTGTGGCCGTTTGCGGTCCGGTACGCTGCGCATCAGCTCAACCTCTGACCCCGTGTCTCCTTGCCGGAGACTTCGCTTACACTGCGTTGGTTGGGGAAGGTTGGCAATGCGTCGGTGTTCCGGGTCTGGGGTTATCGTGCCTTTGTTCCCGATGCGTCCGCAGACAAACTCTCCACCCGCGCTATTCCCTCCGTCTTCCTTGGCTTTCCCCCTGACGCGCCTGGCTGGCAGTTTTACCACCCCACCTCGCACCATGTCCTCCCCTCTCAGGACGTCACATTTGACGAGTCGGTTCCCTTTTACGGTCTCTTCCCCTACCGCTCTGCCCCTCTCCCACCCCCGCCGCTCTTCCTTGCTCCAGGTCCCCCTCCAGTAGACCCCCTCCCGCCCCAGGGTCCTGCTCCCTCAGGTGTGTCTCAGGAAGACCCACTCCTTGGTACTGTGCCTGTTGAGGTCGCTGTAGACTCAGGTGCTGCTAGGGGTGCTGCGTCTGGGGATGCTGAGCCTGGTCGTGCGGAGCCTGGGGGTGCTGAGCTTGCGGGTGCAGAGCCTGGGGATGCTGAGTCTCAGGGTGTGGGGTCTGGGGGTGCTGAGCCTGGTGGTGCGGAGCCTGGGGGTGCTGAGCCTGAGGGTGCGGAGCCTGGAGGTGCTGAGTCTGAGGGTGGGGAGTCTGGGGGTACTGAGCCTAGGGGTACTGCTTCTTCTGGAGGTCCTGCGGGTGCCTCGCCACGACTGTCTCCCCGGCGCGAGCCTCTCTCCCTGCAGCAGTTGCACGAGTGGTTTGCTAGGCGCACACGCCTTCGGAGTGGAGCTACAGGAGTTGGAAGCTCTGGCGCTGGAGGCACTGGAGCTGGAGGTGGTTGAGCTGCTAGTCTTGGAGGTGCTGGAGTTCTAGCTCGAGCTGGAGGTCCCGGAGGTGCTGGAGCTGCTGGTCCTGGAGGTGCTCGTACTAGGGGTACTGGAGCTGCCGGGGCTGGTGGAGCTGGAGGAGCTGGAGATGGAGACCCTGGCGCTAGTGGCGCTTGAGCTGAAGGCACTGGAGCTGTTGACCCTGGAGCTCGGGGTACTGGATCTGCTAGGGCTGGCGGTGTTGGGGGCAATAGTGCTGGAGGCGCTGGAGTTGGAGACACCAGAGCTGGAGGCACTGGCGCCGGCAGCGCTGGAGCTGGAGGAGCTAGAGCTGGAGACCCTGGCGCTGGAGGTGCTGGAGCTGTTGAACCTGGAGCTGGAGGTGCTGGCGCTGGGGGTGATGCGTCTGGCGGTACATGTGCTAGAGGCACTATGCAACGGCGCTCGTTTTTCGTTCCGCCGTCGCCGTCGTCTCTTCTGCCACCTCACTCGGTCCATCGCCAGGTTCTTAGTCTCCCGTCTTCTACTGGCCTTCCTCCTAGCTTACTGAGTCCACCGACTCGCCAGTCGCAGCCACAGTTACAGCCAGACTCCCCACTGCTTGCTCTTGCTCCTTACGCTGAGCAGACAGACTCTTTTACAGAGCGTCGTGAGCCTGACTCGCCTGTTCACGCTGTTCG